ACTATTTTACACAGAGAGTTGTTCATGTGTGGAATGAACTGCTAGAGGAAGTGATGGATGCAAGTACAGGTGCAAGATTTAAAAGACATTTGGATAAGTTCATGAATAGGAAAGGTTTGGAGGAATAAGGGCAGGCAAGTGGGACTAGTTTACTTTGGGGACATGGTCGACATGGATTGGTTGGACTGAAGGGTCTGTTTCCATGCTGCACAACTCTATGGATTTTGAGGAAGTGGAACAGAACTAAAGGTATGATGAAGAGTTCCAGAGTCAGACCAAAATGGCCCAAATTGCTTTCATCACAATGAATATAGAAGTGCCATCATCATCTGTATGATAAATCTCAATAAGTAAGTCTTATTTTATTTCTGGTTGTACTGCATCTTGCCCTGGTAGATGTGCTCTGTATGTCCCCTGTATGCCTATTTTCTAAATTTAATGCAGCTTGCACAGCTTTGCTGGACTCCTCTTGGAATAGCACTTACTCAATCTAAGGTGGTACTGCTCACAGATCACTAATATGTAAACAAGAATCCAAAGCCTCATTTTACTAGAAAGACTAGAAATTGTGTCATTACATCTGTATTCTGTGTCTAATGATCGGAAGGCATTAAGATATATTCCCATCAGAGAGCAATCAAAGACAAACAAGCCCAAGATACCTTCCTCCTTCTGATAAAAGACCAGCCACTTGAAACATTTCCTGTTTCTCTCTTCACAAATACTGCCTGTCCTAGATCAACAAGGCTGCCAGGAAATGGGTGAGATATTAAATGAGTATTTTGCATCAGTAATTACTATGGAGAAGGATAAGGAATCTCGAAAACTTGGAGAAATAAACAGTGATACCATGAAAAGTGTCCATATTAGAGAAGGGAGTGCTGGATGCCTTAACACACATAAAGGTGGATAAAATATTGGCACCTGATCAGGTGTATCCCAGAACTCTGTGTGAAGCTAGGGAAGTGATTGCTGTGACCCTTACTAAGACATTTGTATCATCGATAGCCATCGGCGAGGTGCCACAAGACTGGAGGGTTGCTAATATGGTGCCACTATGTAAGAAGGGTGGTAAGGAAAAGCCAGGGAACTAGAGACCAGTGAACCTGATGTCAGTGGTGAGCAAGTTGTTGGAAGGAATCCTGAGGAACAGGATTTACGTATATGTGGAAAGGCGAGGACTGATTAGGGATAGTCAACATGGCTTTGTGCGTGGGAAAGTGTGTCTCACTAATTTCATTGAGGTTTTTGAAAAAATGACAAAAAAGATAGACAACGTCTCTGCCTTTGTCAATATAGACTTCATTAAGCATTTTCATGGTAGACTGGTTAGCAAGGTTAGATCACATGGAATCCAGGGAGAGCTAGCCAGTTAGATACAAAATTGGCTTGAAAGTAAGAGACAGGGTGCTGGTGGAGGGTTGTTTTTCAGACTGGAACCCTGTGACCAGCGGTGTGCCAAAGGATTGGTCCACTGCTTTTTAACATTTATGTAAATGATTTGGATGAGAATAGAGGCATAGTTAGTAAGTTTGCAGATGACGCCAAAATTGGTTGTCTAAGTGGACAGTGAAGGTGGTTATCCCAGGGGACAACGGGACCTTGATCAGATGGGCCGAGGAGTGGCAGAGAGAGTTTAATTTAGTTTTAAATGTGATGTGTTGCATTTTGGTAAGGCAAATCAGGGTAGGACTTATACACTTAATAGTAGAGTTGTGGGGAGTATTGCGAACAAACACACCTTGGGGTGCAGGTTCATAGCTCCTTGAAGGTGGAGTCACAGGTAGACATGGCAGTGAATAAGGCATCTGGTACGCTTGCCTTTATTGGTCAGTGCATTGGGTATAGGAGTTGAGATGTCATGTGGCAGCTGTACAGGATATTGGTTAGGCTGCTTTTGGAATACTGCATTCAATTCTGATCTTCCTACTATAAGAAAGATATTGTTAAATTTGAAAAGGTGCAGAAAAGATTTATGACTAATTCCAGCATTGTTAGACCTGTTTATTTCACTTCACAACTCCTCCAATGTTCTGCTGTGTTTCAAAGTTGGAAAACATCAGGCAACTCATCTCTCATCACACCACCACTACCTCTCTGGAAAGAAGGCAAGCCTTCAGCTAAAGCCTCTAAATGAATGCAAGACCTACAGGCAAAAGTAGGCAATTCAGGCTCATGGTCTTCTGCCATTTAACATAATCATGGCAAATCATATATCGGCCTGAACTCCACGTTCCTGCCTGCTCTCCACATCTGTTTTACCCATTACTAAACAAAAATCTGTCTGTTGCCTCCTTAAAGTTATTTAGTGCTCCAGCGTCTGCTGCACTTTAAGGCAGTGAATTCTACAGATTCATGACCCTTTGAGAAGTGATTCCTCTTCATCTGTGTTTTAAATCTACCTAAAGTTAAATTTCATTGCCGTAAAATATGGCCTCTCATTGTAGAATGCCCCACGAGGGCTAAATGTTCCCCCATTTTCTCCCAAATCAAACATCACTTGGTGTCCCTTCCTGACAACTGTAGTCACCATCTAACCACAAATAGAGCCAAATGCTGGACTCTCAATTCAGATTCAATCTGACTGCTTGGCAGAAGTTTGCAGGTACTCCGACCTCCTGCTGAATATTGGAGATAGTAGGAACTGCAGATGCTGGAGAATCCGAGACAACAAGGTGCAGGGCTGGATGAACACAGCAGGCCAAGCAGCATCATAGGAGCAGAGAGGCTGACGTTTCGGGCCGAGACCCTTCATCAGAAAAGGGGGAGGGGAAGGGGGTTTTGAAATAAATAGGGAGAGAGTGGGAGGCGGATAGAAGAGGGATAGAGGAGAGGAAACAAACAGGTCGAAGAGGCGGGGATGGAGCCAGTAAAGGTGAGTGTAGGTAGGGAGTTAGGAAGGGGATAGGTCAGTCCAGGGAGGACGGACAGGTCAAGGGGGCGGGATGAGGTTGGTCGGTAGGAGATGGAGGTGCGGCTTGAGGTGGGAGGATGGGATAGGTGGGAGGAAGAACAGGTTAGGGAGGCAGGGACGAGCTGGACTGGTTTTGGGATGCGGTAGGGGGAGGGGAGATTTTGAAACTTGTGAAATCCACATTGATACCATTGGGCTGCAGGGTTCCCAAGCGGAATATGAGTTGCTGTTCCTGCAACCTTCGGGTGGCATCGTTGTGGCACTGCAGGAGGCCCAGGATGGACATGTCGTCTGAAGAATGGGTATGAGTTGCAGTTCCTGCAACCTTCGGGTGGCTTGGGAACCCTGCAGCCCGATGGTATCAATGTGGATTTCACAAGTTTCAAAATCTCCCCTCCCCCTACCGCATCCCAAAACCAGTCCAGCTCGTCCCTGCCTCCCTAACCTGTTCTTCCTCCCACCTATCCCCTCCTCCCACCTCAAGCCGCACCTCCATCTCCTACCGACCAACCTCATCCCGCCCCCTTGACCTGTCCGTCCTCCCTGGACAGACCTATCCCCTTCCTACACTCACCTTTACTGGCTCCATCCCCACCTCTTCGACCTGTTTGTTTCCTCTCCACCTATCCTCTCCTCTATCCGCCTCCCACTCTCTCCCTATTTATTTAAAAACCCCCTTCCCCTCCCCCTTTTCTGATGAAGGGTCTCGGCCCGAAACGTCAGCCTCTCTGCTCCTATGATGCTGCTTGGCCTGCTGTGTTCATCCAGCCCTGCACCTTGTTGTCTCCTGCTGAATATTGATTAGATCATATCACTAGACCAATCATCCAGCCTGGGCTATCCCTCTGGAAACAAGCTCAAATCTCAAAACAGCAATTAATAATTCACCATGGAATCAAAAACCATCTCTGTAGTGGCGATTTGGAAATTAACACTGAATTTTGTAAAATCCCGTCTGATTCAAGAAGGCGCTTTCGGGGAGGAAATCTGCAATCCTTACCTAGTTTGGCCGAAACGACTCCAAACCTGCAGCAACGTGGCTGACTCTTAACCGTCCTCCAAAATGGTCAGGGACAGTTAAACAGTTCAAGAGTGAGTAGGAAAGGGGAACAAATGCCTGCCATGACAGCAGCACTAGTCACCCCACCATAGGAGAAATCTGATTGCACTGGAGCGACCAGTTTGAGGTGTATAAACTTCTTGGGCTGTGAAGGGAGGGACGTTTTTCCTCTTTGTAGAGGACTCAATAACCAGGGAGCGCAGTTTTAAGCCAAGGGGCAGAAAGGAATTTGAGGCAAAGAGGGTGTGGGAATCTAGAAACATTGGGTGGTCGTGGAAAAACTCTCAAGACATTTAAAAAGTATTTATATGACTTCTTCGAACGCCACAGCATACAAAGCTAAGAGGTGGCAGATGGAGTCAGAGTAGATGGACATTGGAGGGACAGCACGGACACGACGAGCCGAAAGGCCTCTCTCCGTGCGGTACTAAACAGGAATGCAGGTAGCTATAAAACTACGTGTAAATATATTTAATTTCCAGCAATACCAAGAGCATGAACAACGAGTACACAGTGCGTTCTATCTTTAGATTAGAAAAGGAGAGGGAGCCTTACTCCATTTAATAAAACCGTGCACCAACCTGCCAACAGTGGCGTGGACTGCGCCATCTTCAACCGGAAATGCCGTCATCGGCCACGCCCCATTCCCCACCAAGACCACGCCCACACCCGTGAGACCACGCTCCCTCTGGGGTTAGGAGTCATGCTCCGCCTCCTCTCGTGGCTGAGTAACACGTCGCTCCAAAGGCGTCCGTGCCTTTCTCCAAACCCCTTCCTTCTGACGGCCAGGCCGGAGAACGACCAGGTACGGGATCCACTGAAGGTGGGCCGCATTCCCAGCCGCGCCGTATGGGATGGGAAGTGGTTTCTGAATCGGTATCTGGGAGGTTCGAGCGGAACAGCGGAGGGATCAGGGGATGGTAGTGTGGAGGGGGAACTATGTTGTGCTGGCGGAGAGCGAACTATATAATTTCCGGTTCCGGCGGGGCGCTGGTTTTAGTCTCTTCAGGTTCTAGGCGACAGCGGAGGTGGTGAGCAAGGTAAAGGGTTTTAAATGTACCAAATAGACCAGGGTGAAGCCTTTATATGTACCAAATGGACCAAGGTGAGGGTTTGAAATGTACCAAACGGACCAGGGTGAGGTGGGTTTTAAATCTATTTTTAAATCTGAAGCCTTTATATGTACCAAACGGACGAGGGTGAGGTGGGCTTGAAATGTACCAAACG